ACCCCGACTATTAATACTAGAACAAGCGAAGTTATGAAAACACGTGTGATTTATAAATAATAATAAATTGTTTATATCAACATCATATTTAAAGTCATACTCTTTAATTATAATTGAAATCTTATTCTTCGTCTGCAAGTTGTATTAGTTAGCTACAAAATTAATGATTTACAATTGATTATAGTGAGACATTATATTTAGTTTGGTGCATGCTTACAAGGATGGGAAGTTTGAAAACTTGTTCCAATCATAAGCTTTTTCATAGGTTACATGCATTCATCTCTAGTTTTTCTTTTTTTTTTTTCTTTTTTAATATATTTTGTGACGAGAGTGTGTATCAGGTAAATAATTTACGAAATCACACCAGAAATATAAAGTGCACTAAAAAAACTTATAAAAAAGACTCAACTAAAATGATGTTAACAAAAATAAAACTCATAATAATTTTTATGTAGAAAAATCATATTTCACCACTTTATTATTTATTTCGAGCCACATGCAACCATCCTACCTACAAGATTTGATCAACATTTAGCAGTACACGTGTCCGGACTATAATGGTGATGTGATCAACTTTCTTGTCAAACACTTTCCCTATGAATATACCATAAATGAATGATAGCCCTTTAATCTAAATAAAGTTTTCCTACTTTATTTTATTACCAAATTTCAAGAATATTGGGTTATGGTATCTTATATTACTTAATATTATTGCATGTGGTAATTTATTTTCTAGTATCACAAACATTATTTACGTCGAATACACAAAACTCAAAACAAATTCAAATTGCAATAGAGCTAGACATCTATTTTGATGATGTATGTTAAGAATATCTCAGTTCTTACGTCAAGAAAATAGAGAGTGAATAATAGCTAGGTTTAATTTTTTTGGATCAAAGAGAAGGCTATGCCCGGTGCCTTATAGCAAACATCCTTTCGAGATACTTCTCACGCTCGATAAAACTCTTGAGTCACTCGACAACGCATCCTTGACACTGGGAGGTGGAGCCTGTTGGAAAACAAAGAAAAGTTCTCCAACAGAACCTCCCATTCTATCCACGTGGCTGTAGAAGTACAAACTTGTTTAGCCAGGATATCTGTCACCGCATTTTGTTCGCGGTAAATGTGTTGGAAAACGATCTCCAACCGTGATACGATCCCACATCGGCTCCACAAGAGATTGTGGAGTTTTACTTAAGTTGGGGCCAAACCTCCACTCATGAGCTAGCTTTTGTGGTGGAGTTAGAAGCTTGGCTTGATAAGGTTCAAAGGGAACCGAGAAAAGTCCAGAGTGAAAGTCGGCCTAGCCCGGGTGGGCAATGATACAATCCCACATCGACTCCACTTTAATATGATCACTTTCCTTGCACCCTTATTCCAAGTCCATTCAACTCCCTAGCCGTCCGGGGGCGACCTAGAAAGGGGTGTGCAATGATACGATCCCACATCGACTCTACTTTATATGATCCCCCAAGCTTCCCTAATAATGCAAGTCAAACTTGTTAACTAATTATATTCAATATTTTAATGTGATTTGACTCTTGTGTAATGTGTAATAGTTTGATTTAGACATATAACGGGCACTTATAATAGTCTTTTGTCAATAATACAAAATTCAAAATTATTGTATCACTCTTAAATAATTAGATCAAACAAAAACATGTAGATTGATTTTACATAACTACTTAACCCATTACCCACTATCAAACAAAATAATTCATTGTATTCTCTTTCAGCATATATACTTTCCTTCATCGATATATCACCCAAAAGTATAATAAAAAACAAACTCGATTGCAATGACTAATCACTTCAAGTCTTAAATGTTGTTTCAATTATCCTCTTTACACCAATACACCTTATCAAACAAAATAATTTTTTGTCTCTTTCAACATATATACTTTCCTTCGTCTATATATAATCCCAAAAGTATAGTTAAAAAAAAAAAAAAAAAAACTTGATTGAAATGATTAATCACTTCAAGACTAGCTTAAATGTTGTTTCAATTATCATTTTTGTTTTTTGTTTTTTGTTTTTTTTCTTTTGATGATTAAATAGGAAATTTGCAACCACTAATCAATAATATGTACATTCTAGGGAGATTTTTTGCAATAAGTTCAACCAAAATGGTATTGTTAAAAATATAATCTGTAACTTTTTTATTTAAAAGTCATGTTCTACCTACTCGATCATTCATTTTGAACCAATTATCCTATATTTTTACCATACATTAAAGATAAAAAATAAAAATAAGTCAGACAAAAACCATGTCGGATGTTTGTTTGTTTGTTTGTTTTGTTTTGTTTTTTTTTTTTTTTTTTTTTTTTTAAACATGTCGGATGTTTTTATTATTTTTTATTTTTGTTTTCTCACTGTACATTTTAGGCCCAAATTGGGTCATGGGCTTTCAACTGGACCATAGGCCGCTTATAAAATATAAAGTATTGAATAGTTATTATTTTTTTTTTAGGAGAAAGAATAGTTTTTTTTTTTTAACATTATTAAATTTAATTAGTTATATTTTGGATTTTATTAACATACCATTTCATTCTCTCTGCCAATCGGAAAATTTGTGTCATTAGAAATCTAATAATTATCTTTTAGTTACGCTATACTCTGTATATTATTATATTTTTTGTCCTATCTTTTTGTTAATAGAAAAAAAAAGTGATCATTAGTATCAAAAATTTCAACAATATATTATCAATTTTTTTACGTCAATGAGTATACAGAATATTTCTTATATTTATATCAAAATTTTCAACAATATATTATCATTATTGAATACATAATATTTCTTTATAATTATAACAATATTAAAATAAAACAAAAATAACAATTAAAATATAATTAATAATGACACAAAAATAACAATAAATAATAAAAATATTTCGGAGCTAAGTAAATAATACAATATACTTATGTCTTTATACGTCAATTTACATATAATCATCTAAAAATAAACTGCTAATTTACTAAACACCTTTCTGTAACCCGTTAATACTAACATCATCAACTATCAAGTATATATCAGTCAATATATTGACAATCACCCCATAAATTTGACCTATACATTTGGATGCTTGTCGGGCAAAATGAATTGTTTTATTGGTGAATTAATTAATAAAATTTGACAGCATTGAGTTTCCTTTACCTGCACGCATATTGTCACCATCCCCATAAATAAATATAATATGGTGATATTAAAACCCTATGAATGGCTCTAAGTACATGAAATTATGTATGTCATTAAATGAACACAAAAAGAGACAACTAACTTTTGCAGGCAGAAGCAAACATCCCCCAACTTCCTTTCACATTACTACACTCTACTCTACTCTACTCTCTTTAGTCTTTATGCAAGTACAAGCTATTAGTTGTTACTTACTGTGCATTTAATTTTTTTTCTTTTATACTTAGTCATCCAATATTTTTACTAGCTAATACGAGGCTAATCATATTTAATTTAATTCAAAATCCTAACAGGGTGTTTGGTTGGAGGGATTTTAAATTCCCTTCCCACATAATTCTCACCTAATTCCAAAGACCATTAAATTTCGTAGTTTGGTTGGAAGGAATTGCAATTCCATGGAATTGCAATTCCCCCATTTTCATGGAATTAAAATCCCATGTCCTCCCGGTATTTTAATTTCTGGGATTTTAAGAAGAAAAAAAGATAGTTATGAATCAAAATTACCCCTTCATTTTTTAACATAATATTAATGCCTAACAATAACAATGGACATTTTTTACTTTATATTACTTATTCCTTTTCAATTTCCATGTATACCAAACATTGAAATTGAAATTCCCAGTAATTCTATTCCTACAAACTAAACACTGGAATTTAAATTCTCACTTTATTCCCAGTAATTCATCTCCCATGAAATTACAATTCATTTCCCACGTAATTCCCTCACTCCAACCCCTGTAAGAGAAAACTGAACTCAAAAATTTTTAAACTCTGCATACTATTTACAACATCGAGCTAAACTTTCAACGTAACCTATTAATAATGTAATTACCTAATTTTAATTTCTTTTAATTTGTTAATGTCTTGTTAGGTTTTGTGACTCCATCACATTAAAATGCCTACATGGGACCAAACAAAAATTTAAAAAAAAAATAAAAAATTCATGAAAATCGTCAAACTTTCACCAATTTAAGAAGGGCAAATATAGATCATGTGGTAAAGTGGTGGAACATGATTCGCATAACAAAAGGTCACGAGTTTAATTCTTTACACCCTTTTAGTCAAGCCCGTTGTATAAGATCTTCCAAGCTAGTGTGATTTGCATCTCATGTATGATTATGGTTTCTCCCATCATTAAAAAAAAAAATGAAATGACAAGAAAGAATGGGCAATATAGGATTTCACCTAATCAATTTTAAAATACAAAACATTGTGATTCTTCTTCAACGTACCATAATAATTTTAGAAGAAATTTGTATCATTTATCTAGTCAAGATGACATGGACTTCCTATACTTATAAGTTATAACTCCCTTTCCTAACTAGAGAATCATGAAACTTAGAAGATGGGCTATAAAGAAGAAGAAAAAAAAGTTGTAAACGTTTTTCATGATCTTTGCAATAATATAATTTGAGATGAAATGTATTATTCAACTTTATAGTGATATATAATATATAATATGATACCATGATTTACATCATCCCAAATGCTCTTTCGGGTCGGGGTGTGGGGCCCTTAGAGTTGTGGTTCAGACTTTTTTTTTGGAAGAATAATATATAATATGAATTGAAGTTTGAATATATCATATCATTAATTAATATAAGGCATAATATTATATATAAATATTTGTGTAATGACGAACAGATCCATAATATATTTTAAGTCTTTGAGGTACACTTGACAGCCAATTAAACAATTAATGGCAGCTTCGAAATCTGAAAAGGATTGCTTCAGTTTAGGATTCCTGTCTCTTCCTCCTCTATATATCCACACTATTCTTCTACAAACCTAAACGTAACATCTTCTACTTTCTCATTTATATTTTCCATTTCTTTTTGTTTAATTTCTTCTTCTATAATTTGCGAATTACCCTCTCAAATGGAGTTTTGGAGGAGGAAAATCGCAACCTCGGCTCTGGAGAAATGCTACGACGACAACCGTACTACAGGCAGATCGGTGAATAACAATAAGTCGAAGGATTTCCTAAACGAGGATCTTGTCTCAAGTGTGGTGCCGCCGGTGACGGTGGTGCTGGAGGGGCGGTCCATCTGCCACAGAATTAGCCTCCACAAGCATGCGAGCTACGGAAGTCTGGCGAAGGCTCTCCGGCAGATGTTCGTCGACGGCGACGCGGATGACGCCGGACTTGACCTCTCCAATGCCATCCCCGGCCACCTCATTGCCTATGAAGATATGGAAAATGATCTCCTTCTTGTCGGCGACCTAAGCTGGAAGTAAGTACCATACATACTTTAAACTAAACATTAATATAATATATATATGGATTCTTATGTTGTCTGGCAATCTATTGAATGCTTTAATTTGCTGCAGAGATTTCGTAAGAGTTGCAAGAAGAATTCGCATTTTGCCAAGGAAGTCCAATTCCAGGAAGGGATCCATCTGATAATCACCATTTCATCATGTGCACACATCATAATATTAATTTAATTAGTGTTTCTTTGCTTTCCTTAATTTGGAATCAATGTTCAATCAGTTCCATTCATTATAATGTGTCTTTTCTTATCTCTATATGAAAGTTGGCAACCCTACATTTCAATTTTGTGATTACGTCAAGTAGGGGCTTCTTGTGCCATTAAGCAAAGTCTAGTCTCTGTGGTTAATGCTCAATTGAATTACCAAGCCTTGGTTCATGTTCAGTTGAATTACCATGATTTACATCTTCCCACATGCTCTGTCAGGCCGGGGTGTGAGGGTCTTAAGTTTGGGATTCCACCTTTTGAAAAATATGATACTTTTGTCCCAATTTCAATAGAAAATAAAATATCACCCCTCCAAAACACTTTTTTCTCGAAACTAAGAAAACATTTTTTTATGGAAAAAAAAAAAAGAGAAGAAAATTTTCTTTTATTCAATTTTAAAGAATTTTTTTTCCATCCAACTAAACATGCACTTAGAAAGTTGCCCCTCCAAATGAAATTCGATCAAAACTTGATTTAATTGGACTTGCCTGTTGAGATGTAAATACCATCGTAGTATGCAAACAAATATACACAATACAACAAAATATAGTATATACGATTATATTATAAAATCATTAATTTATTTTTTAAGTGATCAATATATAGTGGGCAATTGCTAAATCTTAAGATTTGGGCCTCCATGTAGATTAACAACTCAGAAGGGCCAAGCCCAATTTTAAGGTCCAGAGTTCAACATTGGCCGCACACCCAGTAGGCTCAAGATTTAATTAATTACATTTCATTGTCCATTGAGGCACTAAAAAGTCCAAGTTGGGCATAAAATGGACCTTGGAACAAGCCTTGGGCCTTATCCATAATAAAGAATGACTAATTATTTTAGGGTCCCGGTCAAACACATACGCAAATCTCATTTGCAATTTATTATTATTATTATTTTTTTAAATCTTGGTCTCCGGCGACCAAACTGCGCCTTCTCCTTCGCTGGAGAACCGATGACCAGATTAGTCGCTGAAGATCAAGACTTTAAGAAAAAAAAACATACGCAAGTGGGACTTGTGTATCTTGAGATACGCAAGTCGTACTTGCGTATGTGTTTGACCGGGACTGACAACAAACGCATTTTCTAAATGTCTTTTTTTATATTTTTGTCCAACTTTTTAAAATGTCATATTTTTGTCCACACTTAGGGTGTGTTTGGTTTAAGGGTTTTGTTCATAGGAATGAGTATGAAAGTGATTGTTATTGCTTGGTTGATAGGTTTTTAGAACACTACTATGGGTTTCGAATACCCCATCAATTGAAAAATTCATACCCAAATAAAATAAAGGTTTCATTCTCAAGCATTACTATTACTAATCATTTCCATTCCACCATACTACCAAATATGTTAAATACTTTAACCAAAACTCACTACCATTACCAAATATTTGATACTCATTCCGATTCTGATTTCCATGTGCGAACCAACACACGCTCCTAATCTTTTTGTCCTATTTGAGTCTTTGTACCCCCAAAATGTCAATATGTGATTTCAGGACATTGAATTGGTTGATGAGAATTCTAAAATAAAATTTGATTCAAGCGTATAAATAATAAATGTACAGTTTGGGAGTTTATATTTGGATTGAGCACCTTATACATATATTTGTGGATTCGTTCTCTGCCATTGTTCACGTGATGCTTGTAACTTTGTATTTTGTATATGCAAGATTGCACGGAAAAAGAAGTCACATGCACTCATAATCATTTATTAATTTTAATACTTATGTGCAAAACACTTCATCTTAATTTTAATAAATTAAACCCCACCGGTTGAATTAAAACCGGTGGGCGGTCACACCAAATTATGACCAAAAAATCAAAACCAATAATTGAAAATTTTGAAATGTGGTGAACATTTTTTAAAATTATTTTTATTTGTTGCGTATTCGTAGCAATGCACATTTGCACGTTTCACGTCTTCCCTCCAGGCTGGCAGCCGTCAGCATACTAGCATAGCATTGCTGGAAGGGAAATCCCAACCAACACTTGGGTCAGTTTTCTTCATCGTCGCTGCTTAATAACTATCGCCGTCACCCAAAGCTTTACTCTCTCAACTCGTCACTCATCTATGTATGTGAATATATTTATTTTTTTTCCGATTGCTTTTCTAAATTTTCATTCGCATTAGTTCATTTATGAAGATCAGTTTATGTGAAATTTACACATTTTTTTTGTTTATTTTTGTAAGTTATAGTGAAGAAGAATGTGGAAGCTGAAGATCGCGGAAGGAGGGAGCCCATGGCTGCGGACGCTGAACGGCCACGTCGGCCGTCAGGTTTGGGAGTTCGATCCGAGCCTCGGCAGTCCGGAAGAGCTGCAGGAGATCGAAAAGTTTCGGGAGAACTTTCGCAACAACCGATTCAAACAGAAGCACAGTTGTGATCTTCTAATGCGTTATCAGGTGAAGTGTTTGTGTGTGTATTTTTAGTAAATTTTCTCTGGTTTCGCGTTGTTTAGCTCTTACTTCTGATTCGAAAAGTTAAGTGTATATTCCTCTGAATTCAGTTGGTTGTCAAGTTGTTTAGCACACATTGAAACAATTTAACTTTCATTTTCCTGTCTGGCGGATAGTTGATTACTTCATTTCAGTTTTAATGATGTAAATTCCTCTGAATTCAGTTGGTTGTCAAGTTGTTTTGCACACATTGAAACAATTTAACTTTCATTTTCCTGTCTGGCGTATAGTTGATTACTTCATTTCAGTTTTAATGATGATTTGTCTAGCTTCTTTTCTTGGATTTTAGTTTGCCAAGGAGAACCCCATAAGCACACAGTTACCGCAAGTAACAGTCAAGGACAGTGAAGATGTTACACAAGATAAAGTAACTACCACACTGAAAAGGGCGCTGACTTTCTATTCGACTATACAAGCTCATGATGGTCACTGGCCAGGAGACTATGGAGGCCCCATGTTTCTTTTGCCTGGCTTGGTTAGTGCATACTTGGAGATTTTATAAAGACAATCTTATATACTTCATGTTTTGAGACTGGAATTTGTATCTTATTTTCAGCTTTTGTCTTTGGTGTTATACTGATTTGATCAATGAACAACATATACATTTATAAATAAACTCATATGTTTGGAAGCTTATTTTAGGGGCAGAAGTGAGATATGTTTTTAACACGTTTTTTTCTTCTCTTCCATCTAATGGGATAGGTAATTGCTCTTTCTGTTACTGGGGCATTGAATACAGTGTTATCAAAAGAACATAGACATGAGATGTGCCGTTATCTTTACAATCATCAGGCAAGTATCTTGTAATGATGTAATGTGAACTCTGTTTCTGTGTGGGTTTTTCTTTTGCTGATGGATATTCCTTTTATGATTCAATTTGTCATGTCACCTTATTTTTGGGTAACTAGATTAGTCAATATCTATGTCATAATAGTATTGAATTGCAGAATAGTGATGGTGGCTGGGGTTTGCATATTGAAAGCCATAGTACCATGTTTGGTTCGGTCTTGAGTTACGTTACGTTGAGGTTGCTTGGAGAAGGAGCTAATGATGGAGATGGAGCAATGGAGAAGGGTCGAAAATGGATTTTGGATCATGGTGGTGCTACTCATATAACATCATGGGGGAAAATGTGGCTTGCAGTTCAGTTCTTTTCAACTATTGTTTTCTACTCTAGTTTGTATTTACTCCTTGCTTTGTGTATATTTGCATTTATTGGCACTTCTATTCTCCTTTTATTATTAGTAATTTTTTAAAGTATACTTTGACTATATTCTACTAGGTGCTTGGAGTATTTGAATGGTCTGGAAATAACCCACTTCCTCCAGAGATATGGCTCCTTCCCTATATTCTTCCCGTCCATCCAGGTTACAAGTCAACTTTTTTTTTTTTGCTGGCTAGTTTATTTGTTTGTTTGTTGTTGTTGTTCTTTTTATTTCCCCCTTTTTAATAATCTTTTGTTTTGTTTTGTTTGCTTATTTTTTTTTGGTTTTCTTATGCTGAGAAAGAATATTTCATATTGTTTTTATAATTGGACATTGATTTTTGCATTATCATAAACTAACTGGTCTCATGATCTAGGGGACATGCTTGTTGGAAGCACTTGATACTTGACATATTGAAGGACAAATGTCAAAATGCGTAGAGTCATTTTTTTTCTTTTAAATAAACAACTTCTAGGTGCCTAGCCTATGTACAACCAGTGGAAGAGTGCAGTGATTCATTTCTCATTTGACCATTTATTACCATCTGTGTTGCTAGTTACTTCAACATATTGAAGGACAAGCAGATGTCAAAATTAGGAAATAAGAGGGATAATAGGAGAATCAATTTTTTTTTTCTTTCAATAAAAAACATCCTTTACACCTATCCTATGTACAACCAGTTGAAAAGTGCTGTGATTTACTTCTCATCGTGCCATCTATTACCATCTGTATTGCTAGTTACTTTTCTTGCAAATGCTGTATGTGATATACCCAGAATAGCTGTGCCACGTGCCTTCCAGTGAAAGTGATTGGTTTCTGATAAATGCATTGCATTGCATAAAATTCCAATTCTTGCCTCGTCTAAGGAAACTTTTACATCCACTAATTTCACAGGAAGAATGTGGTGCCACTGCAGGATGGTTTATCTGCCTATGTCCTACTTGTATGGCAAAAGGTTTGTTGGTCCTGTTACACCAACAGTTTTATCTCTAAGGAAGGAGTTGTTCCCAATTCCTTATCATGAAATTAACTGGAACCAGGCACGGAACCAATGTGCAAAGGTTGGTAAGGCTTGTACTTAATCTCTATAGAGTGCTAAGAATTCATTCAAGTTTACCTGACCATTTCTAAATTCTAATTCTGGGGCATTCTAGTGGCTACCAACCTTGATTGTACACTATTGGTTCTTGTCACATAGTTCCTTAGAGTCTATAATATCCTGTTGTAAATAGAGGTTTATTCACTCTGCTTATGAACAGAGCTCTTCCTTGTGTTCAGTGGACATCTGTCATTGACATGTTACAATTTGATTGATGGCAAAATTGCTAGGTTTAGTAATATTCAGAAGCTGTAGAATTGGTTAGAAATGTAGTCAAATCATGATTGCTAATTGGTAATAAGTTGAGTAAATATCACTCAATGTCAGATGTAAATATATGTTAAATCTTTATCTTAGTTATATCAGGTTATTAATCTAGTCTGCAAACTGCCTATTAGTAAGTGTAAGAAAGGCGCTTTTGTGTTGATAACATGGTGAGTGGAGTATTTGTTTCTTGCTTTTACTTTCATCCTAAGACAACTGAAATAGGTCTTATTATTATTATTTATTTATTTATTTATTTATTTATTTTAAGAAAAAGAGAAGGAAAAAAAAGAAGAAATGAAGTCAAGAGAAACATGATAAAAAGGTCACATTTATGCATCAAGCTAAATAATGTCCAACCTTCATAAACAGCTTTAGGTGAGCTGATTGTTATTTTTAACCTACACTTGTAAAATTAAATATCATTAGACCATGCGCTTTGCAAAACCAAAATCTTCTTGTAAATCCGTGGCATACTAAAGTTTGGTGTAATTTTCATCATATACATGCATAGAGTTTCATGTCTTGAACAAAAAGTCTAGTTGCTATGTTACAAGAGATTCAGCTGCCTATTTTAACTTCTATTTCAGTTGATATTTACAGCTATTTTCATACACATGAATTTTTTTGCAGGAAGATCTCTTTTACCCTCACCCTCTAGTACAGGACATACTGTGGGCTACACTTGATAAGGTTGTTGAACCTCTTTTGATGCGTTGGCCTGGGAAAAAATTAAGAGATAATGCTCTTCGCACTGTGATGGAACACATACATTATGAAGATGAAAATACTCGGTACATATGCATAGGTCCTGTAAACAAGGTTTGGCTCTTAAGCTTTACTAGTTTGAGTGACATTGGTTGAAGTTATTAGAATTCATGAGACGGTGGTTCAGTAGATGGAAAGGAGTCCCCACTTACGAGAAAGGCAAAGCAATAAGATAAAATAAACCCAGAGTACGATTGGAATGTTATACCTATATAACTCAACATATTGTGATTTGTGAGGCAAAAGCTACACTACACAATGGCACACCAAACATTGTGTGTACCCCAAGAATTGTAAACATTGAATAAACTAATCATTCCCTATAGTGGTGTGATATGATTCACGACTAATGACTGTTTGTTCTCTTTTTTATTTTAGAAAAACGTCCTCACTTTGAATATGTTGAATATTCGCTTTCGGATATTATTCACATTTAATGTATTAAATCTCTACATGTCATGCACCGGGGTGCTCCATGACACTTCATAGTTGAACTCTTGCTGTAATTAAAGATATCTATACTGATTAGAGGACACACAGTCGGGAAATTTTTATGAGAAGTGGTAAAACAAGAGGAAAATGAAAATGCTTAAAATAAGATTCGTATTCATTAGTCATTACTATTATCATTATTACTGCTCCACATTATTTTTGGTCACAGATAAGATAGTATGTTGGAGGAAAGTTTGCTTGTAATGAAAGTCATCTCTCATGTGCAGATATTAAATATGCTTTGCTGCTGGGTTGAGGATCCTAATTCAGAGGCCTTCAAATTGCATCTGCCAAGAATCTATGATTATATCTGGGTTGCTGAAGATGGCATGAAAATGCAGGTTGAACAATAGTGTAATTGATCATAATTTGTTCATATAAGACTAGTATATTTATTGCAATTTCTATCACTTTCCGTTTCCTTAAAACTCTTTCACGAACTTGTTACTTACAGGGATATAATGGCAGCCAATCATGGGACACTTCATTTGCTGTCCAAGCAATCATTTCCACGAACCTTACTAAAGAATATGGTAAAACTTTGAGAAAAGCGCATGAATTCATAAAGAACTCACAGGTAGAACATCTTCTTTTACAATCTGGTTTCTACGCTCGTGTTGTTAGTAGCTTGACCCTCTTATCTCTTATATTTATTATTTCTTAATATGTTATTTGCTTCAAAGGTCTTAGATGACTGCCCGGGAAATCTTGATAGTTGGTATCGTCATATCTCAAAAGGTGCTTGGCCTTTCTCAACTGCAGATCATGGATGGCCCATATCAGATTGTACTGCTGAGGGATTAAAAGTAATAATTGGGTTTCACTCTCTAAAGCTTTTTTGCTTTCACTCTTATTTCTATTAATGGTCTGGGGAAGGTTGGGCTTTGTGTATTAGTCCAGTGCTTATCTGTTGACCATTAGGTTGTTGGTTTAAGCCTTGGAAATGAGCTCTGTAAAAATAGGCTAGTTTTCAGCTTCCTTTCCCAGACCTGACATGATTTGAGAATTGTGAACTATATATATATATTTTTTTGCATTAATTTTTGGTGGATGAATTTTGCTTCTTTCTGAAAACAGGCATCACTGTCATTATTAAAATTACCACAAGAAATTGTTGGGGAGCCATTAGACACCAAGCGATTATATGATGCTGTAAATGTTATACTCTCATTACAGGTAATGTCAATTTCTTCCAGTTATTAAATTCTGAAGACCACTTAAATTCAAAAGGATGCCCATTTTGTTAAGAGTTACACTGAAATTCAGGTGGCCTTTGACACCTGGATAAGTCTTTGAGTTTTGATTGAATTTTGTGTTACTATTGCAAGCTACCACTCAAGTGTGTTTGCGTGCCCCATGTATGGTTTTTGCATAGCCCTATGTTCTTTAACCAGGCTTAGAGTTTACGATTCTTAGGTTATGAGAAAACTGATGTGGTTATATTACACTCCTATATATATTAATGTTACATAGAAGTTGATGAATCAGTTATTACATATAGAGATATATTAGTTTCCTTATGGAGCAATCTAATTGTTTTTGAATTTTGTAGTAACTTCTGCAAGAGTCATGAGACCCCGATTAATTTAGCATCAATCATATTATATTCCAACAAAGTAGAGAAAAATATGATCCTGTTATTGAACACTAGTTAGAAAGATTTTAGGTCTATCTTTCCAAAATTCTTGCTGTGAACATTCTAGTTAAATTGTTTATATATTAGCACCATAGTGAGATTTCTCAATTGTAAATCCTAAGTCCGTAGTCCAACTCAAGGAACCACCCCCTCTTTGTGAAACTTATGTTAAGACTTGCAGATTTGACCCTTCAGACCTGGCAATGTAGTTCTATTGCATTTTAGTTCTTTCTAATATTGTGGATATTTCATATTGTTCTTAAGCGTTGAAAGGTATGACTTTTCTATTTTCTGCAGAACCCTGAGGGTGGCTATGCAACCTATGAACTTACAAGATCATATCCATGGTTGGAGGTAATTTTCTTTGACATACAACTTGTCCATGTTCAGTTCTGCATTAACATAATTACACAAATTTGCTCTATGTAATTGGATTATACAAGCACTTGTGAATATGTGGCATATTCGCCTGCTTTAATGCCTAATTGCTCAAGATGGCCTTCAGTGTTGAATGAAGTAACATGCATTGAATGCAAAACTAAGTGTATTATTGGGATATTTTTATCAATCATAGCAAGTGTAGATGCTTTTTGTGTGTGTGTGTGTGTGTTGTTAATTGGCCAATAGAAAATGGATGAACCAAAAAACCAAATACAGATACTGTACACCAAATTTCAGCGAGGTCGATAAGTCTATAATATCTGCATGAGAGAGACTCCATTTAAATTTTAGAAATCTGAACTTTTGTGTAAGTTGATCTAAGCTGAAAATAACTAAAATAAACCTCAATAAAACATGTAAGAAGCACAAATTATCATGGCCAAAAAAGCAATTGGAATTTGGTATTTGTTACCATTGTTCAATATAGTTTTTATTTATTTATTTATTTATTTATTTATTTTTTTAATTTTATTTTCCAAACAATTCAGATCGGATGGTGTTAAGTTTAAAGTTATTCAAGTGTAAGGTGCTGGATTAATTTTACACTTTTTCTTTGGTGTGATATAATTTTTACATTTCTTCATAGTAAGAATGAATAATCTGTATTGTAATTATTTTATAGCAACTTCTTTCTTGTTCATTAAAAATGACTTTTGAAGACGGAGTTTAGTTCTAGAGTGGGTTAAAATGACACTTTTGTATGAAGTACTCTGTATTAGTTAGTGGCAAAATATAGCCTTGAGGTCGAGATGCGATCAGCTCTGTGCCTATTTTCTTCCCTTGTTCCTTTTTTTTTTTTTTTTTTTTTTTTTGGGTTCCAACTATATCTGATGTTAGGGGAAATAATATCTATCATGCTTTGTGGAAGTATTGAGTGATGCTACCTAACTAGCCAGAGACCAGGGCAGTGATCACTTGTTAGCTATTAATTGTAATTAAAAATAAAAATAAAAAGAAACTACTTAGAGATGTAATATATACTGCCTCTTATGATATGTGTGCTATACAACTCCTGCACTGATATGAAAAGTATTTATTCTATTTCAGCTAATCAACCCGGCTGAGACTTTTGGTGATATTGTGATTGATTACCCGTAAGACTTGCACATCTATATATTTCTGGTTAAATACCGTATGAGTTATATTGTCTTCGATCCATTCAGGTTTATGTTTCTGATCAGTTACAAACTTCTGGCTATGTAGGTATGTTGAGTGCACTTCAGCTTCTATTCAAGGGCTGACAGCATTTAAGAAATTATACCCTGGGCATAGAAGGGAAGAAGTGGAGAATTCAATTGAAAAAGCTGCTAAGTTCATTGAAAAGATACAAAAACCAGATGGCTCATGGTTAGTTCTTGTCTTTAGATTGTCGCCTGTTTCCAGTAATGTTTACACCACTATCTATCTCCAGTCATTTATAGTTTTCTTCTTACTATTTATCTTAATTCAATCAACAGTTATACTTTTCTTTTCGGTCATACTTTCCTCTTGAACTAAGGTAAACATTCTTTGTAATTATCCAATTGATCAGGTATGGCTCTTGGGGTGTTTGTTTCACGTATGGCACATGGTTTGGGGTAGGGGGCCTGGTGGCTGCTGGAAGGAACTTTAACAATTCTTCCAGCATTCGCAAGGCTTGTGAGTTTCTGTTGTCCAAGCAACTTCCTTCTGGTGGCTGGGGAGAGAGTTACCTATCTAGTAGTAAAGTGGTAAGTATTGTGTTGAATTTTTATTCTTGTTAATAAATAGGAACTTCAATAGAAAAACCAGTCTTGGGTTAATTTTAGCCTGTACACAGTATGTCCAGAAGACTCTTCTGTTCTATAGAAGCTTCTTTTCTATTTAAAGCCAATAGCTAAATTCTTTCTGCAGAAACTTGCATGTAGGACCCACATCAAAAGTTTCCATATGGACAAGATCCTCTGGGGACTAAGATTACTAAAGAAATAAATAAATCTTGCCTTCCCTATATACCAAGTAATTTGCATGTATTTGATGATGGGCTAACAAAATTTCAACAGTTTGTGTGCTTTTCATGCTAAATACGGAGTATTAAATTGTCTAGTGCAGAAATACTATTTGCTTCTAAACTTTCCTGCTAAGACTGCAGTTTTTGTTTTTATTTTTGTTCTTCACCCCCTGTTTTCCACTATTAGGTTTATACAAATATTGAAGGCAACAGATCTCATGTAGTACATACGGCATGGGCTATGCTGTCTCTCATTGTTGCTGGACAGGTGAGCATCAAGTTTGCTGCTTGAAATGCTTTACTGGTGTAATGAACTCTATTGGTTTCTTAATTAGGGATGTGAATTTCAATTTACATTTTAGATTCTCATATTGTTGATTGTTGCTTTTTATTCAGTTTTCTTCTTAGGTAGTAAATGTTGATAGCAATGAACTAATTCATCCTTAATCCCAATTATTCTGAATCTTGAATTTAAAATCACTGAATCTTTTCTCCTATGACAGTTAAGATTCTTTAGTTATTATTTAATCTACTTGTGTTTGAAGGCAGTTGAGATGTTACCAGTTCTGCCTAGGATGCAACCCCAGTTTTCACCTTGAATTGATCAAAATTTGCAGAATTTTCTTACTTATTCTTCTCCAGATAGCAAATCACAACTTCCCATTAGTCTTATGTATCATAGTTATGAAGGTGAATTGCACATGGTTACATTTCTTAGTGAAAATTGCATAGGAGACAGGATGGCCATAATACAAATATTTACCCATAACATAGCAGAGCACTACACCCTTAAGGCCTTAAGTTATAGGTGATAGGTGGAGCAGCAGGTGCATCTTGCCATCTTTACAGTTCTCCTTTGGAAGGCCCAACTATGATTTATGTAGCTTGTCTCCTATTAGGTTTCATCATTTGCATTTCTTTTAATTTCACAACTTTAAGGGTCATGTCCCCAAGCAAATTTTTAGTTCTGTGAGATTGGAAATTACCTTTTCCATTCCCTAAACAATAATTTTTATGCTTAAAAAATCACAGGCTGCGAGGGATCCAACTCCATTACATCGTGCAGCAAAGTTATTAATAAATTCTCAGTTGGAAAATGGAGATTTCCCTCAACAGGTATATTTTCTTGTGACTGGTATATCTAGCTTGAAATTTCTTTACATGTTTGGAACATAGAAGCTTTGTAACAACCTTATGCAAGTTTAAATTGAACAGCCACCGCCTAACTAGATAATGAAGTATGCAAGCTTTTGGTATGGTTAGAATTTTAGGTATACATTATACAGTGTTGGAGATATGCACATACCTTCATGCTATATTCTAAGTTCAAGTTGTTTGCCAGCCAGGGAGCCCAAACTAAAGTGTGGTAACTGGTACTGAATTATACTCTGGAATTGTTAGGAAAATAATATGGTGGTTGTCAGTCACGAAAGAAAATCAGGGCAGAACACTAACTTTATAAAGCTTATGGGATGAGTTACAAGAGCTTAGGTGACGTAGTAATCATAGTCTAGAATCATGGATCTTCAATTTTAGTACATGATAATTATGGAACTATTACTCTTCAACTCTATGGTCCTTGTGATCACCACATATGATAGAAACATCATGTTCTTAAGTTTTCTGACAATCATTTTACAAATTTGGAACTTGGTTGAGTTATTTCTGAGTTTGTTTCTTGGATTCAATTAACCTCTTTGTTTTTGTGTATTTGTGGATTAAGACTTTCAGCAATAAATATCATGTCTAGTAATTTTGCTAACCAAGTATGTTGAGAGCAGAATATAATATAAATTATAAAGAGATGATTGATCCATGCTCTCTTCAATGGCTTGCATGGGATAAATATGAGCCTTTATAATTTGTTTTCCTTTTTTATTGTCATTAATTCTCAGGAAATAGTAGGGGTCTTCAACAAGAACTGCATGATATCATATTCTGCATATAGGAATATTTTCCCAATTTGGGCCTTGGGAGAATACTGCCATCGGGTACTGAATGCCAGTGAGTAGAAGTTGCTGCCGCAATTAACTATGGTAGATTGGTACCATCTGTTAATCCCTTATTTTGTTCCCTCCGGAATATTTGCTTTCAAATTTTTAGTTTTTGTTAGGTTTCTCTGTATTCAGAAGCCAGAGATTATTCCAACAACTTTAGTGTAAATCATTAGAGTTTTATTTTATTACTCTCTCATTTTAAATGTCAGATTTATTGTTTTGTTTATTTGTTTCTAAGTTAAGATTAAATTTTAACTTTGGATTCAATGCAAAATGAGTAGCTTTCAACTTTGGGTTGATGTTTACTGAAGCTGTCTGCTGTGTAATAATGTAAAGACACCATACCCACACCCAACTTTTCTTTGAAGGGAGGGAGGCTTGCACTGATCTTTCTTCCTCCAAGTTGAGGAAACATTATAATGAAAACGCAATCGGTTTGCGGTATTAAATGGTTGGATTGCGATGGTGTTCCCTCTTTTAGCCGAAAGCATTTTGTGAGCTTCGGCTGCTTGCCAGATCATCATGTCTTTCATCTTAAAAGCATCCACAATAGGTGATCTCCGTTGCGATTTTTGAGGGGTAACAAAATATATAATTGCAGTACGCGCCACCGGGCGTGTGCGTGGCGAAGCTGTGCGCGAAATGCGCACATCGTTTCCTTTTCTTTCTTCTGTTTTACTCATAACACTGTTCCAATATGCAGCCCTTTGCAGATGAACCCTCCCATTCTCTCTCCAACACTCTCTCTTCTAATTGTCATCACTTTTGCTGACATTCTCTTCAAAATAATCTCTGATAATGTTGTTCTAACACACAAAAGGTTCTTCCTTAATCCCCTTGAACTTTTCCCAAGCATCATGGAACCCTTCATTTCACTAACACGAATCATTGTTTTATAAGATGATGATATTTAAATTATAATGTTTATTTATTAATTTGTGAAATAATTATACACTATCAACTCGCAAAGGGATTCTTGAGATTAGTAGAGTAACAAGTTAGGCACATGTGATGGCATTAAAGGTCCGTCCAAGTTTTCTACAATTATAAGACCTCACATGTCACATGTCATGTGAAATTAGAGGACAGGCTATATTGCCATAATGTCACGTTATTCAGCAAAGGACAATGCAAAACCAAACAAATTCTGACTCTCCACAAACAATACACCATTTTTTAAAACAAGTACAAATTATTCCTTTCGTATTTTCGTTGACATATGTCAGTTGGTTGTACTAGAGGATTTAGTTTTTATTTAAATGGAATTTTTGTATCTGCTGTATCTAATTTTAAATGTACTGTATATGACATGGTAAAATTTTTACCTTCTATGCACATAAAGACAGCGTATATACGTATTGAAAGGCCATTTATATACTCGTAGTTGAAGACGTGAGTAGTGGGTGTTTCTACTTTCTACATTTGTGAGTGTCACTGTTCACCGTTCAATTTCAAAAAAATCAGATCTGCTTTTGATACTCTTGGAGTTGCGGTCGCTCATCCACTCTTTCACTCAACCAAGATCAGCTTTGAGTGTGACAATGCCGTCTACCGAAAGCGATCTCGATCTCCGAGTACCGTTTCTCTCTCTCTTCTCTCTACTGAAATTCTACCAATGCGCAATGCTCTACGAATTTGACGTTTTTCTGAGATTTTTTCTTTGTTTTGTTGTTGTTGTTGTTATTGTAGCGTTCATCTCTACAGCCAAGTAATCTTGGCGGAGCAATCAGGTAGAATGCACACACGACGCTTGCTTGCATTGTGTTTCTTCTCTGCGAATGCTAGGGTTTTAATCTTTAAAAACTTTTTGGAATGATTCGGAACAATGCGAGGACCGAGGAAATGTGCTTACTCAGTTCATTCATCATTGTTGTTTCTTTCAATTTTTTTCCCCAGCAATGAGTACAGTTTTGCTGATATCAATAATTTGGAGCACTGCGCTAAGTACCTCAATCAAACGCTAGTTACCTTTGGATTCCCTGCTTCGCTTGATCTCTTCGCCAATGACCCAGTAAGCTATTGTTTTCTTTGTAATATATATGTATCTACAATTTATCCCTGCTCTGTGTGTGTGTTGAGATGAACCCCAGTGGATGTGGTTAACTATTGTAGGGAAATGAGAAATGAGAAATGAGTTCAGTGTATCCCTACATTGGATGAAGACAAGGCTTATCACTTAATACCTTTAGTACTAAACAGTGTGAAATCATAGTGTCGGAGCTGAGGTTGATTGGTGAGCTTAAGGGCTCATCTTCTATGTTTTCCTGTTCTTACTGATGTACAACTGATGGTGTCTGTAAAGATGACTGAGAACTAAAGAGTAATTTAATTTTGGAAAAAATATGTTCCTACTATTTATTTATTTGTTTTTTCAAGTAAATGGTTTATGGACAACAGAATTATATTACCCTCTATCTGTTGTTCAAACTGAGTATTCATGTTTAGCTTTCTTAGTCAAATTTCCATTTGTTGAATCAATATATTTATCTTTATATACATTCATTAATTGTGAAAACATTTCTACTTGCTGAAATTAAGAGTTCAAAACTAATAGGTTTCAATCGCAAGGACTTGCAATTGTGTATATGCTCTGTTGCAGCAGAGGCAGAGGGATATAGCATTTAGGGAGTCCGCAAATGAGCAGCGACAGCGGTAATCTTCACGCTTTTTTTATTTTCTGATGTTAAGTGTGGTATAATGGTGCCAATCACTTTCTCTTTGTAGTTTAGGCATTGTTCACGAGGTTGTTAGGATTTACTTGTTCACATTCTTAGCTTGTAGCTAAAGTGTTGGATTACATATTCTTAACCTTTGTAATTAGTGCTTTGTTTCCTTCACTTGAAATTAGCATTCTTGTGATTACTCTTTCATTGATCTGAGGTCTATAATTGTTTTAGCTGTTTGTTTTTCAATCTTGTTGAATTGATTAATATTTCTTTTTTGGAACTTTGGGCTTACAAACATGAAATAAGACCTTTTTAGTGCTGCAAGTTTATTCCATTACATGAGTTTATATTCAAATTGGGCTAAACCCATTCCAAATTTATTCCATTACATGAGTTTACACTTGTATGGACACAAATACCAGATCTGGGCAATATTTTCTATTATCTGTGAATTATAACTTCTGCATAATTAATTTGCATGTATGTGATTATCTTTCTCTCTCGTCAGACTTCTATCAGACATATCAAGGCTAGAGTCTAAAGTCGAGAGGCTGGACTTAGAGTTACAAGGTAAAGATAGGGAGATAGCGACACTTACAAGAGAGGTAAGGATATAGTTCCCTTTCACATATTAGTTGCTTCTATGTCATTGTTATTGTTGTGTTGACTGCATACAAGATTATGTACAGAATGCTAAAGCTGTTGCAGCATTTAAGGCCCAGATTGATAAGTTGCAGAAGGAAAGAGATGAATTCCAAAAAATGGTTCTTGGTAATCAGGTTAGGACAGTACATTATTCATCTTAATTGCAATTTGGAATTTGTGCTGATATGTGCAATTAACTTTGAGGAATTTTTGTTCCGTTAATAGCAAGTAAGAACTCAGCAAATATATGAGATGAAGAAAAAAGAAAAGGAGTACGTAAAGTTGCAGGTAGGATACTTGTCATCTGTTTTATCTGTCCTACTTATGTAGAACTTTGAAACTCAATCTTATCTGCAAATCTTGTTGAATTAATAGATCAGTATCATTCTTATGTTTGCAGGAGAGGTTAAATCAAGTAGTAATGGAGAAAAAGAAGGAATCTAGATCAGGCATGGAAATAATGAACTTACTTCAGGTGTGAGAGTGTCGCAATCATTGTGAATTTACAGTCTACTTTCAGTATTCTGACAGTTCATTCATTGATTGGGGTTTATGGTATGTGCTCAATAGAAAGAAGGAAGACAGCGGGGGACATGGAATGCGAAGAAGGCTGATAATGACTTCTATAAGAAAATTGTAAGTGGTAGAGTTAACATGTTGTAACAATTGTTTGATAGTTTCTATGTTTTTAACTTTCCTTGAAAGCTTCCTCGTTTTCTCTTCTTTTCTTATTTTCCTTTTTTTTTGGTTTCTAACTTGTGTAAGTCTAGTTCATAGCATTAAAAATGCCTTAGATGTAGTTGTATAAGAATGACTTACTAGCTCTGTGCTCTAGAATATCACAGTTATTATTAGGCCTCTTAAATTGTGTTCCATTTTATAGGTGGATGCTTATGAAGTAAAAAATCAAGAACTTGCAGCAGAAAATGCTGATTTGAGGGCATTGCTACGATCAATGCAGGTAAATGATTCACTTATCTCTTACGGAGTATATATTCATCCGTTGGTAGTCTAATGGTCTATATGGTAGACTTGAGGTGGATTAGTCAAATATCTCACCTGGAAGGGATGAATTGTGATTATTTTTGTTAATTATTTCATGGATAAAACATTGTACACTTACGATAATGATTCGAAGTGTATGATTGAAGAGCACTAGAAAATTGAAACTAAGATTTTCAATGTGATTTCCAAAAGGTTTCAATTATCAGGCAAAAGGGATGTTTCCTTAATCAAGTTTCTTTGGATTTTTAGAGAGTAGTTCTACTAGGGTCTCAGTCAAGTGCTTAATGAATATAAGGTTTCAATTATCTGCTGGCTGTTTTTGCAAGGAATCTATGTGAGAATACAGTTTGTGAGTATACTTTGGACCTAAGTCGGGTCAGGATACTCTGCAAATTTTCTCTGCAACTAGGATTGAGGCATTGGGCCCAGTGAACCTGTCCAATTTTGAATGGCAGTAGGCAATAATATTTATAGCAAAGAATGTGTTTCATTTGGTAGGCATTTATATTTAATTCTCTGACATGGGACAAGATTTTGAAGAACATTTCTTTTGTTACAGACAGACATGCGTAAGTTCCTGAATGCTCCGAATGGCTCTTCTAAACAGTCTCCAGTCAATGAAAGGCTAGAATCAGATCCCTCTCAGTCTCCCTTGGGTGGCAGAACAGTATGTATAAACATTCATAACGGGAATAAATTAATGGCATGCATGCCACAAAATAAGATCTGTTGTTTGTAACTTCAGGATGTATTTGATCTGCCTCTGCACATGGCTAGAGATCAAATTGAAGAAAGTCTCCGTAACAAGATGGCTTCCATTAAGGTAGTGATATTTGCCTATCTGGTATCATAAATTTTTTCTTTATGAGCTATTCTGAGGTGTTATATTTAGTTAACAGGCTTTTTCTTTAT